GAGGACCAGAGGAGAAAGAGAGAAGAGAGAGAGAGAAAGAGAAGAGAGGACGATGGGAGAGAGAGAGCTGCAGAGAGAAGGGAGAGAGAGAGGTGAGAGAGAGGGAGAGACGAGAGAGAGAAGAGAGAGAGAGGGCAGAGAGAGAGGAGAGAGAGAGAGAGACGAGAGAGGAGAGAGAGATGAGAGACGAGAGAGAGAGATGAAGAGAAGAAGAGAACCAGGGAGAAGAAAGGAAAGACAGGGAAAAGAAAGAAGACCAGGGAAAAAGAAAGAAAGACAGGGAGAAAGAAAGGAAAGACAGGAGAAAGAGCAAAGACAGGGCGAAAAGAGATGGGAGTAGAGAGACAGAGTATAAGGAAGGGAGGGGGAAAGAGAGAGAGAGAGAGAGAGTGAGAGAGGAGAAGAGAGAGAGAGAGAGAGAGAGAGAGAGAGGAGAGATGAGAGGAAGAGAGATGAAGAGAAGAGAGAGAGAGAAAGAAAGAGATGGGGAGGGGGGAGGAGGGAGGAGGAGGATGGAGGGAGGAGGAGTGAGCTTACGCGACGGAGCGGAGGTACCGTGAGGAGGAGGGAGGGAAAGAAGGAGAGGAGACGGGAGAGGGAGAGGAAAGAGGAGAGAAGAGGGAGAGAAAGGAGGAAAGGAAGTCTGAGTGCAAGGGTCCGAAAGGGGGAGAGGAAGAGGGAGAGAGAGGAGGAGAGGAAGGGGGAAAGGAAAGGGACGAGGAAGAGTGAGAGGAAGGGGAGAAGAGGAGAGAGAAGGGGGAAGGGTTATAACGGGAGAAGGAGAGTGAGTGGGAGAGAAGATCTGCAATTGGCCCAGTCCTTTGGAGCATCTTTATTGAAGATGTGCTTAGGTAATACCTGAAATTTCAGAATATGCAGAGGACTGTACCTTTTCTACACCATACCAATGTGAGGATCATGACACTGTAGCAATAGCTTGCATTCAATACTGAATGGCAATCACACTGGAGAGTAAGTTTTGCTACCAACAAGACCTAAGAAACATTAGACATCAAAATGGGCAAAATTTTAGTGAATAACATTGCCCTTCCACTTGGGGACTTTATCTCAGTCCTTGGTGTGGACATAGTCCATGTCCACGATGAGGACTCAACAGGCACATCAGCAGGATCTGCAAAACAGCTGCTTCAGCTGAGACAATTCTCCAACACATATCACAACTCTTGAATTGGCAGGGAATTCTCATGCTGTACAAGTCCCAGATCAGACCACATCTAGAGTAGGCCTTGTTAGCCTAGGCTTCTACTTTGCCTACTAGCCTAAACAGGCTGGATAAAAAAAAAAGGGCTCTTTGGCTTATCCTCATCTGTCCAGCCTCTGCCTCCCACAGCATGGCAAGGTCAAGAGAGAGAGGGGGAGAGACGGCTGAGAGATATAAACAAGGGGAAGGAAAGAGTGTGGATTAAAAGAAAGAGAGAGATAGGGGAAAAGGGGAGAGGGAAAGCAAGAGTGATATAATGATTTTCAGACAGGTCAAGAGAGAGAGGGGGAGAGACGCCTGAGGAAGCAATAGTAAAAAGGCCTTCGGCATATTCGTGTGTTTCTATTCTTCTCTTGTTGTTTCTGTTTGCCAATATATTCGACATGAATTCCACACATGATTGTGTGTGGTGAGTGTGTGCGGTGTGTGTGTGTGGTGCGTGCGTTGCGTGTGGTTAATGAATATGTGTGTGGAATGTGCTTGTGTAACACCCATATGTATAGTCACCACACATCACTCCACACCCCCTACAGGGACCCTTGCACTCGAGGCGAAGCCTTCACAGGCCTCCCCTCGTAACGCCTTACATAAGCACCCAGAGGTTCGCACCCTTTCCTCTCTTATTGCACACATAATATTTATTATATATCCTTACACATACCCTAATACATTTATACTAACCCACCGTATCTTCTGCCCAGCACTCACTGGGGTGCGACATTCCTCAAGCCTCTGCCTTGTGACATCCCTCTGTTACACAGACACAACATCCTCTCTCTCTCACTCCTAGTACTATGCGGCACCTATGCGGAGCAACAGGCAGACAGCACCACCCAACTGCTCGGACCGAACCTCTGTCCGACATCTATACCCAGTTCTCCCATAATAAAACCCGTCAAGCAAGAATACTCAGAAGTCTGTCTAACCCACGCAAGATTCGTGTATCTACGCACGCGCACTCTGTCTGCAATCCTCGATGACTCAGGCTATGTTACATTCGGTGGCCGCTGGGCGATCGTCCCACCAAATCCCCTGCTAACCAAGAGTTTCCTGCTCCGAACAAACTCTACCCTGGAACAAGCCAAAAGCAAGTAAGCAAGTACCAACACAAACCGAAACTCTGCCCCAAGCAACAGGTCTGCTGACACATATAGAGAGAGAGTGTGTGCCGTGTGTGTGGTGTGGTGTGTGCATGTGTGGGTGGTATGGTGTGTGCGTGTGTGTGGTGTGGTGTGGTGTGTGTGTGTGTGTGTGGTGTGCATGTGTGCTGTGTGTGTGGTGTGCATGTGTTGTGTGTGTGTGGTGTGATGGTGTGTGTGTGTGTGGTGTGGGCATGTTGTGTTGTGTGTGGTGTGTCATGTGTGTGTGTGTGTGTGCATGTGTGTGTGTGTGTGGTGTGCATGGTGTGTGTGTGTGTGTGGTGTGGTGTGTGTGTGTGTGTGTGTGTGTGTTGTGTGTGTGTGTGTGTGTGTGTGGGTGTGCATGTGTGTGTGGTGTGCATGTGTGTGTGGTGATGCATGTTGTTGTGGTGTGCATGTGGTGGTGTGGTGTGCATGTGGTGTCGTGGTGTGCATGTGTGTAGTG